TTCAATATAAAACTTAGTCTACTCGACACTTCGACATATAATTTATAAAAACTTGATAGTTTTTATAAATAATATTATAGTACTATCAGTATTGATAGTTATATCCTGATTCCTGTCACATATTTCTAATGCTCTTATCACAGCAAATAGCTCTGCTCGATTATTTGTTTGTCGTAAACCAGGTAATCTTTCTGATAAATTACATTGATCATTATCTGTAAAAAATACTCCAATACTTGCAATAGCTCTGGGTTTTCCATTATCTTTACAATATCCATTTGTTCAAATTTCTAAATTGTTTTTTTTATTAATATTTTGATTATTAATATATTCTAATACATGTTGCTTTGTATCAAATTTTTTATACATAGCACTAGGATATTTGTGAACTTGTTCTTTACATTCTTTTCAAGATAAATATATTCCTGAATTACGTCCAATGTGAACAGCATAATATCCTAATGTTGAATAATATTTAATTGGAGACATCTTGTAGTAGTTATATGGTTATATAATACAACAAGGATAATAAATTATCGAGAGATCAGAGTAAGAGTTAGTAATAAAGTAAGAAAATGAATGATCAAACAATATACAGTTTGGAGCTCTCTTACCTTTGATATAGATTTGATGAATTAATAATCTTTCTGGTTTTCTTTTGAAACTAGACAGAGATAAAGATGAAAACTAGGTCTTTATATAATCATTCAGAGCTAAGCTACAATTTCGAAAGCTATAAAAGATTGATAAAATATCTGATACGTAAAGAAAAATACTAAACGTAAAATTCACACAGTATCAGAAATTTGATAATAATAAAGATATCAAGATACTAGATTATGCTAAGATCATAAAATTCTATAACAGATTTGAGAAATTTACTCGATTCAAAAAACGTATAATAGATCATGAATTTGATCTTAAAAAATTGATTAAATATATAAATTCTAAATTTAAAAATCATACTCTTGATAATTCGTCTTTAATCTATAATTTAAATATTGAAATCATAGAAATAGTTAATATGTTAGTATTAACTGAAACTGTTAAATTTAAATTTAATATTTATGTTATAGAACATATATTTTATTAAATTTATTCAAAATAA